CAGTCAGGGCTCGCGATCCATTAATTGCAACTCTATGGGCAGGGAAAAATAGCCTCAAGGCCACGCGTGACGCGGCGGCTTTTGATGTACACGATCGATCGATCGCGTACTATATACACGGCCTGCATAGCACGCGCGGCATACACAACCACACACACTTGCAGCGTCAAATAAACGCACACACTGGCTAACGTCTGACAATCTCAAACAGTGAACTAAGCCGTGTCTATATTGTAAAGCAAACTATATTACAATGGTATTAAATGAAGGTAATGTTAGTAGGCTGTTGGACTGTAAAATGAAAATTTGTACATTCTAACCCCCCTAAAATGTTCTCTCAACGGATTTAGACGTTTCACAAAATCGACCCTAGGACTGTGAAATCCGCGGAAGATTCTCATCCCGGTATAATGGAGCACTATTTCAACATAATACACAGACTTTTGGTGCGCGATTTCAACCACTTTTATGAGGCGCGATGATGCGCGCACCATGGCGCAATTTATGGTGCGCGGTGGAGCGCGAGCGCGATCGCACCCCTTAAAAATGAAAGCCTGCTTCTATGTGATGTGGTAACTTGACAGAGTGTATGTATTACGACATCAGTTGCCTGAAAGTCAGGGTACGGTGAGACATAGCTCTAGTACTATAGCCCGCGTACAGTTGCCGCAGGCGGTAGGCAGGCAGTCGGCAGGCAGTAGCCTGCGGCAACTGTACGCGGGCTATAGTACTAGAGCTAGGTGGGATAATGCAGGGTACGTAGTAGTCCGAGCCGACGCAGACCCCAGTAATGGGGTCAAATGGGTTAAACCCGTACCCTCAGATTAGCAAAGCGGAGTTATAACGTCTGCGTGCGAACAAGGTACGCAGCGACATATCGTATAGTACCCCGAGGTACTTTCCAATATAATAATGATATATCGAACCGTACCCAGGGTACCCTCCGATCGTAACCTGGGGACATAGACCCTATGAGTATGAGTATGAACGCTAGTATAGTAGTAGAGCTAGGTAAGGCTTAAACCGACCAGGCTCTCCGACTGTTACACGGCGGAGGACATCTCGCCACGTAGTGTTAAGCGAGAAGAGAACTTGTGGCTAGGTAAGGCTAGCAGTAGCTCTAGTACTATAGCCCGCGGATCGCTGCCTAACCCTGCGGGTTAAAACTCAATATATATGTGTTAGTGTACGCGCAATGGCGGTGCCGTGCGCTTACAGTTGATATGCTTCAAGTGCCTTAGTCCGAGATTCCTCTGACCAATGCCCACACCGACGATTTTGGTGGTTTTGGTGTGGGTTAGGCACACCAAACTACATACACTAACCCACACCAAAACCACCAAAATCGTCGGTGTGGGCATTGGTCAGAGGAATCTCGGACTACAAGTGCCTGTGCTCGCGACACTGTCAAATTACAGATTTACACCTCGCATCAGGAACATTCACACTGGCACTGCGTGTGTACTGATGAATACTAATTTTTGAACGTGAACACCAACACTTATGTTGTTATACGTACAGAAGTAAAAATATGCACCGCTTAACTAATAAAATGCATTTTTTTGCTCGCAGTAACGTAAATGAAGCTGGCATTCATGTTTTTGAATTTACCTCGGAGAATGTCCTCTTGTTTTTGTCCCGCCATCTGTATGGAGAAATTGCAACTATACCTATTTGGTAGGCATTATTAGGTACCTATTTGGTATTTATGATATATATATATAATAAAAGTACAAACACACGGGCACTCATGTAGATATAGAAAATAAATATAGGACAAAATTGAATAAAGCGTCAAATGTTTATTTTGCGAGCTTTCGAGAGTACGTTTTTTTAAATATATTTTTCCTACATATTGTATATAGCACTGTTTTTTACTGTTTTGCTCAGAAATTTATTATTTTAACTGCTTAACACTATTTCATTTATCTTTTTTCTCCATGAAAAAATCTGTTTTCAGTACATGCATTTGTATTTGAATTACATGCAATAATTAAAGATTTAATAATAATAATAATAATAATAACGTACGTACGTCTCTTCCTCAGGCGTATTTGAACAACGTACACACACACGCGCGCGCACGCACGCACGCACGCACGCACGCACGCACACACACACACACACACACACACACATATACACACACGCAGCCACGACACACACACGCACACACACACACACACACACACACACACACACACACAC